TAAAGCTTAACAAAGTTTATTTTGGGATTTAAAAAAAAAAAAATTTAATATATAAAGAAGTTTATTTATTTTATTCTTTAAATATAAAGATTATAGAACAGCTGGACATATAGGTTATTTGGGATAAATTTATGTTTTTCTATGCCTTATTTTCATGTTCAAAAGTATATTTTATAAATTTTATTGTACATATTTGTAGATATTTGAAAGCCATATTTAAGAAAGCTGTGCAAATAACTAAAAAATTATTTAAAATGTTTCAATAATTGACCAATAATCGTGATAATGATTTTTTCCATAATCAAAGATAAACAGGTGACAATAGCTTATTTTTATCCATAAATAGCTTTACTAATACCACTATATAGGATATTTATATATTATATAATATATATATATATATATATATATATATATATATATATATATATATATATATATATATATATATATATATACATATACACACACACACATACATACTTTTTTTTTTTTTTTTGCCATTATGAGCCATTATGTGAATATGTTAGTAAGTTTTCCACTCTTAATGCAGTTGGCCGTACCGTGGCTTCTGTGGGGGACCACTGTAAATCCTCCACTGATTTGCTGTGTGAACTGAATGGACGCTGGTCGATCTTCCAGGACGCGCCTCCTTCCTGCGGCTCCCAAACGTGGATGTTCTTTTTGCAGTCTCCACTCACGAGGCGACCTAAAGAACACAAGAGGAAAAGAGTGTTTAAGATGAAAATATAAAAATTATTTCTCTAATACATAGATCTGCCTTGTCTAATAAAGGCCAAAATTTAAGTGTAAAATGGGGGAGGGAATTAGCTAATTGTTCATGAGACCACGAGACCATCATGTCGCACAAAAATAAGATATCTAAATTTAGGTGCCGAAAGAGATCACTATATTGTTAATCTGTTATTTTCTGTTTATTGTATCTTTATTCTCTCATATAAGACACATTCTATAGTCTACTTTTCCAAACGCACTCCTCCTATTGGTCAGCCTCGCTTACACTCTTAGTGACTGAAAGGCAGATTTAATCAATCACAAAGAAGTGTGAACTCTCAGAAGAAGGAGAGGGCCCCAGTTACCTTCTTAAGGAAATAAGCAATTACATGTTTATTATTTATGATAATGCTGAAATCACCACTTAAGCTCTAAAAAAATTATTATATAAATGTTTTGTCTCGCTCCTTCTTAACATGTGTGTTTTTATAGTTTGTGAATTAAAACTTCTAGATGCTTCACTCACCAGGTATTGTTGGTGACCAGTCGATAGCGAAGCCTTCTGTCATGTGTCCAGAGAAACTAAACAGAGCCTTGGCCTCTTTCTGCTGGTTCAAAAACGCTGCCATCGCTGCAGAATTATGCACAGCCTCCAGTTGAGGTCGGAGGTCAAATATTTCCACCTGTCCTTTCTCAGACCAACAAGCGGCCAATGAAACATCTCCACACCGGGTCACCTACAGAAAAAGTCCATTGTATTACACTTAACATGAAAAATGACGCAATAATGACAAATCTTTAAAAAGGGGCACAGCTTAACTTTTCTGTTGTTGTTTGTCTTTCACACACTTTTTCAAGATTTTATTGCTTTAACTAAAAAGTGTCCCAGAGTATGGTGTTAAATGTCTCAGTCCCTATGGTCACAAGTAGGTGGCACCACTGGGCCAATAACAGATCAGATCTGAGAAGTAAGAATCACAGTAGGAATGCACAAAATGTTTTAATTTTTTAATCCTTTACTCAGGGGGCTCATAATAGTTAATAATTTGGGGTACATGTGAAGTGAATGCATGTTGGTTTAATTCATTCTGGATGCAAAGCAAAAGTCATCAAATTTCGGAGAATCTGCAATGACAACAGGTGAGCTGGGTAAGCTACTTACCCTGACTCTGTTGATGCCTCCATAATGTGGTAACATGGCCAGCTCCATCTGTGGCTTCTTCTGCTCATCCTCCTCATCTTCATCACTGTCTTCATCACTGCTCTCCTCTTCACCAGAGTCTTTTTCTGTGCCATGTAGATTGTGCATTCTCATGACCAGGAGTCTAAAATGAAAATGTTTGTTTACAATAACGTGGTGTACAGGTGGGTGAGGTATACAACTTTTTGAAGTTGAGCACATACAATACAATCAATAATGAGAAAACTGCCAAAATTAAGTAAAACACAATCAAAACAAACTTTCAGAGAATTTTTCAAATATGGCTAGGAGTAAAAAGTATCTATTGTCCCTAGAGGATATATAAAGTTATACTGACTGACTGACAGGAAGTGATATTCACTTCTCAGAATATTAGAGTCTCTTTTTGTTTTGATACTGGAATTTCATCCAAGACATTCAAACACTTTTAACACATTTCAGATGGACTTCAAGAACATGTTATCAATTATCACAAATCATAAAAAGCAAAACAGATTCATTTTAATATGTCATCCATCCCTCATGTAAAAACACAATAGACATATTAAACAGAATGTCTCTCTTTCTCCAACAAGCTAACATTTGAATTAACCCCATGCTGCAGGGCTTTATTTCTATTTTCTAATCTTGTATCTAGGCACAGACCTGTTGGCAATGGCTGTATCTGCTTGTGTCCCAGCACAGAGAAGCATAGACAGGGGATACTGCTCTCTCCCATCTCCATCATTATCTCGAAGCACATCAAAACTCAGACATGGAGCCCCTATAAACATAAAAATACAGTTAGACATACGGGATACATGAACTAGACTGTAACCGCTTTTAAAGATATGAAATTGCACCTCTGACAGAAAGTCACACTATATTCTGTAGTTTAGGTTCAAGGATGCAATCTGCTCAAGTTGAAGAAGCATTAAATTATTTCAAATGCTTTATTTATAAATAGTTTAATGACTCGAATTTCTTCATAAAATGTATCATTTGTTTTGATTCTGTGTGTCACATAGTTTATCAAAAGAATCTACAGATGGCATGTTTCAAAATGTTATGTTATGAGCAATAGTAGAGTGACCAGATTTTCAAAATAAAAAAACTGGGACATCCCTGGATTTTTGGTGGTTGGTAATCATAAAATCAAGGAAAATTGTTATGCAGAGACCATTCATGACTAATTTGTGAGCCAGTATAGTCACATTTTCTTTGTGTTTTGGTCATTTTAAGCAGCTTTTCTGTATTTAACCTAAACAAATGACAATGTTAGCCTCTCTCTTTACTGTTGGCAGGGATCAAATTGGTCAAACCTGGGACATTTCTTGTATAAAACTGGGACAAATCACTGGTTTTGGATAAATCTGCTGGGATATGGGACACAGGACTCAAAACTGGGACTGTCCCAGGGAAATAGGGACGTCTGGTTACCCTAGGCATGTTTCCAAATGTTGTTATAAGCAATAGATAATTTATGACATGCTTTTACGTTTAGGTTACTAGAGTAATGGATAATTGACATTTGAGTACAGATGTCGCCTTTATAACATGGAAGATTAATAGAGTCATGTTTTATCCACCTCTGCGTGCGTGTTATGGCATAGTTTACCCGTCTGACACTCGTGGTACATGCGGTAAGCTGAGCGGTCCATCTCCAGCTCTGCCCCTGGCGCAAGCGGCTCCATCCCGGGCACATAAACCTTCTCCTCGACCCCTTCCTCCGCGTCCCCGTCCTCCATCTCCACTCCCTCGTCATCGTCGCTGACAGTGTCTCCCATCTCCTCCATGGCCGCCTGATCCTCGGCAAACGTGTCGTCTTCACCGGGGGCAGACATTTTGGTTTGGAGAGTTGAGTTATTTCTTCCGGTGAGCGCGTGGAGCCAGGCCACGTGGTTTGAACACGCGGCGGGGGCCTCCCCCTTCTCTCCAGCTGCGGACTCCCCCGTACTCCCCGTTTCTCTCTCCCCCATTTACGGGAATTGTGTGGTCCTCTTGGCGCTTGTTTTGCTCTGCTGCCTGGAACGGTCAGTCTCCTCACTTCAGGACATTTTGAGATTTTTTTTGCCTACTTTTAAAAATACAGTTTATTTAGTTAGTTAGACTATTCAAATAATGATCTTTAAAAGGAATTATTGAGTAAGCTGAACCACACAGGCTTGTAGTGTAAAGTAATAAAGAAAAACAGTGTATTCAATCGACTCACTTTAGGAAATTTTGAGATATTTTTACCTACTTTTAAAATACATTTTTTATAGTTAGGTAGACTATTCAAATAATGATCTTTAAAAGGAATTATTGAGTAAGCTGAACCACACAGGCTTGTAGTGTAAAGTAATTAACAAATACAGTTTATTCAATCTCCTCACTTTAGGAAATTTTGAGATATTTTTACCTACTTTTAAAATACAGTTTATATAGTTAGGTAGACTATTCAAATAATGATCTTTAAAAGGAATTATTGAGTAAGATGGACCACACAGGCTTGTAGTGTAAAGTAATTAACAAATACAGTTTATTCAGTCTTCTCACTTCATGAAATTTTGAGATATTTTTACCTACTTTTAAAATACAGTTTATTTAGTTAGACTATTCAAATAATGATCTTTAAAAGGAATTATTGAGTAAGCTGAACCACACAGACTTGTAGTGTAAAGTAATTAACAAATACAGTTTATTCAGTCTCCTCACTTCATGAAATTTTGAGATATTTTTACCTACTTTTAAAATACAGTTTATTTAGTTAGACTATTCAAATAATGATCTTTAAAAGGAATTATTGAGTAAGCTGAACCACACAGGCTTGTAGTGTAAAGTAATAAAGAAAAACAGTGTATTCAATCGCGTCACTTTAGGAAATTTTGAGATATTTTTACCTACTTTTAAAATACATTTTTTTATAGTTAGGTAGACTATTCAAATAATGATCTTTAAAAGGAATTATTGAGTAAGCTGAACCACACAGGCTTCTAGTGTAAAGTAATTAACAAATACAGTTTATTCAATCTCCTCACTTTAGGAAATTTTGAGATATTTTTACCTACTTTTAAAATACAGTTTATTTAGTTAGACTATTCAAATAATGATCTTTAAAAGGAATTATTGAGTAAGCTGAACCACACAGGCTTCTGGTGTAAAGTAATTAACAAATACAGTTTATTCAATCTCCTCACTTTAGGAAATTTTGAGATATTTTTACCTACTTTTAAAATACACTTTATTTAGTTAGATATGGTATTGAAATAATGATCTGTAAAAGGAATTATTGAGTAAGCTGAACCACACAGGCTTGTAGTGTAAAGTAATTAACAAATACATATTTAATCACTGATGAAACCAAATAACAAACTTGTATTTTATCAACAAACCTATAGTCTAAAATAATTAACAAATACAGTTTACTGATAGCATTCCCAGGATACTGAATCTATAAGATAAGAGACGTACAGTCAGCTATTACTAGCTGACTGTACGTCTAGCTGACGTACTAGCTGACTATTATTATAACTACTGATGAAAATAGATAAATAAATAGCCTAAAATTTGTTTAAACAACTGACCTAGTTCTAAGTAATCAAATATTGTAGCCTACTTATTACCAGTCAAAGGAAGCATGCTTTGAAAATGTATTTAATTACAGAATACTGGATACCTGCATTAAAATTTAGCCCTTTTTAGTAACTCATTCCATGTCATGGTCCAATTGGAGTACTGTGAAGGAAAAATCACACATGCATGCACCACAGACACTGTGTTTCACATTATACTGTGTGTATTTTTCTCACAACAGTTTGAAGACAGAATTTTATGAACAAGCACCAACATGTAGCTATTCCTTTGATTATAGAAACATATATCTGCATTCTGAATATACCAAAGGAAAGAGAAACTGTACCAGTTACAGTTACTCAAAATTACTGTACACTATGTTTATTTAGTTACTTTCCAACACTGCTTATTACATAGCTACACAATAACATGGATAGCTGGATCCCATAGGCTTATGTTATAGCCATTGATTGAAACAAATGCCTAACCTTTAGACAACAGCTCTGTAAATCAATCAATATGGGACTTCATCACTAATGGTCTGGAGTTTTCTGGTTATATATGGGGGCTTGGGGGCATTTTAAAAATAGGCTACAGTGATAAGACAAAACAACTAATCCATATCATTGTCTATCTTGAACTTGGCCAAAAGGCATTTTTTCAGTCCATTTACCTAAGCAGACAAGATCTGTGGATTCCCTTAAAACAAAAGTAAAACTAGTGCAATTTTTGTGCTATGTACCATGGATAGTCATGCAGGGACAGTGGTGGGTGTGTGGGTGTAAGCGTGTAGGGGCAAGTGTAACCTCGTGGTGCACTCACACCTGAAATGTCTAAGAGTTAAAAAACATTTATGAGCTGGTGTTTTTCAAAAGATGACACTGATATCTAAAATGATTTAACTTAGAATTATTTATATAAAGGACAATAATACTTTACATCATACAAAACATTCTTTGTAAACAGAAATAGACATGGCTTGTTGTGTGCACTGTTTAAATCTCTGTTAGCATAAAGAGCAGAGCCTGGCTGTAGCTGAAGCTTGTATTGAAAACAGGCTGAAAATAGCTAGGTTATCATCTGGTATCTGTTATGAACATGGCTTGATAGTGAATAAGTTGCGTTCATATTCTACAATTTGTCATAATTTCAGATGGAGGACAGGAGCCTATATAACTCTATGGTAGATTAGCTGTTTTTGAAAGAAACATCCAAACTATTGTTAAGGAGTGACTATATAAACTTGTCATAGTAATCCCACTGCTTTAAGTCCTTTCAGCTGACAACAGTGACGTTTGTGGGGTTGAATAATGGAAACACATTTTGAAAATAGTGTGAAAAGATGATGTCAGATTTGCACCCACAGAAAAGACGTGTATTTTTGTTTCACATGAATAGGCCCGGTAAGTACAGAGACATAAACCGCAAGCCAAGTCTGCAAGAAATCTGCAATCTGACAGCAAAAGAGCAAACTCTACCATAGAATTCTGACCTGTTCTCCAGCTAAATGTTAAACCTTGTCACATGAACCCAATTTATTGTGACAGTGTGTACCTGCCATCTCAGATTAAAAAAAAGCTTCCTACCAAACATACAATCATCCAACAATCTCTCAGTGCTGTTCCTTGCATTTTGTTGCATTCTGTTTGCATTTTTCCTATAGCATCACTCAGGAAATCAGCCACCAGTAGAGCCTGAAGAGCAGAGGGCTGCAGATGGACACAGAGTATGGCACGGATAGTCTGCCCCCGCTGGACATCAGTTGCGTAGCATTCATTATCCACTCCCCATCAAGACTGTCCCATTCGTCGACACCTCGAGTGGTCAAGAGTCTGGCTCTGGTGCGCTCAAAGTCCTTTCTCTCTGTTGCAGGTGGCAGAGTGGGAAGACTGCAGCTTTCAATGGAGGAATTACATCTGACCTTGATCCAACGGGAAAACAGCTCGGAAGTGAGATTGAGGAGCTCCTCTGGACGTGAAGTGTGGTCAGAAAGTAAATTCAAGTCTGTGTCCTCTTGAAACCTCTGTCAAAGAAACACCCAGATTTACAACTCTTGCAACATATTCAATCTATCGTAAAGATGCATTGTATAAGTTTTACTTTTACTTTTGGATTGTCTATCACCTGCTTATCTTTATGGTTATTGCTTTTTCTGGAATGTTTCACAGTATGGTATTAAAATTATACAACTCCATGTATACAAGTGGGTGACACCACAAGGGCAAGTAAAAAATCTGATTTGTGGAGAAGCGACCCCACTCACAGTAAGAATGTATGAATTTTTAGCATAAAAACACCTATAATTGGCAACAATGCAAGATAGATCAAGTTAATGCCATACTTTGGGACATTGTAGAGGCAACAATAGCATCTCCATGGAGACAAGCAGGTGGCAGATGCTCCACCAGTAATGCTTCATAGTGCACCTTTAATTCTTCAAAAATGTGCCAAAAATAAGCTATGAAAGATCTGAAAACTTTTATTTGTCCCACAATTTCACAAAATATTTCTGTGTTGTAATGGATTTAAATTACACTTGGCACTGTGCTTTTAATCACAATTTGAATATTTTTATTTGATTGGATAAAACAATAATAATGAATCAATTGGAGGGAGTCTAGTCCTAATTAGAATAAACTAAAGATATAAATGGGAGTAGAATAATAAGACCAAAATACAGTCAGTGTGGTTAAAACTCTGAGGCTGCAAATCTGTTAATAAGTGACTACAGCATGTCAAACATTTAGTTAAACTGTACCTCTGTGTTTCTGTTGCTCTTGATAATCTTTTCCAGTGTCTGTTTTAGATCTCTGATTAAGGAGCGATTTATGTGTTCGTCATACAGGTTTTTGATCAACACATGCCACGAATCTAGGAGGACGATGGCAGCTGGGAACACACAGCACTGGAGGCAAAGGCAAAATAACACTCAAATTAGTTTAAGATGCACGGCTGATGTGTCAAGCAGCTGCCACAAAAGCCACAGCACAAGTCAATACCGCTCCTGTAAAGTGAAACTCAAGGGTCGTCTTGTAAAAGCAGCTGAAATAACATTGCACTGTCACGGTATTAAAATTTTAAACTTGAGAAAAAATAATAGTATAGTTTAATATAATAGTTTTAAAATAATAGTTTTAGCAAGAATAAAAAGGATAAATAGCGTGGGTACATGCCTAGCTGTTCTTGTACAAAACATCAGTTGTTAAATTACAATGTGGTCATATACCATTTCTGTTTTATATTTAAATTTATAGCTTAGCTAGTTTGAATATCGATTGGTTTCTGGGTATTTATAGGAAAAAGGAAGCTTGTTAACTCACCGGGTCATTGTCACAGAGGATGCTACTTGTGTAGTGATGCTTAACATAGTAATCCTTAGGAAACACTGATCGCTAAAAAAATAATAAAACAAGATAAATATAGTTGAGATCCGTTAAACAGTCAGTGGCATACTATTTAGACACTAGTTATTATTATTACCAGGCTGTTAGACATAAACAATACACAATTGTTAAGAGGGTTGAAAATTACACAACATTTGAGCCGCTGACTGCGCTACATCATCTGAAAAGTGGACATGTCTGGACCATTTCCTACTGAGGTACAGATACAAGTTTGCCTATAACATACATGCACTTTCATTTTTAACAATCTAATATAAAGTAATAGTAACAAAAAGTGTAACTTACAAACCCCTTTGCATTCATGTCGATAGTAGTTTTAATGTTTTTTACACCTCCCAGGTCAGAGCCACAGCCTCCACATTGAGCAGTCCACAATGATAGAAAGAGCAAAACTGTGACAGGCATGAGTTTAAAGAAAAGACACAGAGAGACAAATTATGAAGAGGCTGCTATGAGGTCCGTCAAAAATGATAAACCTCATAAAGGAAGCACAACAACAGTTTCCTGTGGCAGTGACTCATCTGTGTCTAAATCCACCTTAACCATGATGCAATATAACTAATAGGCCTGTCATGATATAAAATGTAAAGTGTGATATATTTCTGCAGATAAATAACAACAGTGAAACTAATTATGTCATATCTCCCAAAAAATCCAAACTAAACACACTATTCCAAATGTAAAATATTGTGGAGAAAAAAAGATTAGCTACAATAAATAAATAAATAGCAGAATGAAACACTTAAGTAGTTAGTTTGCATAATGAGTCATAGTTATTCTACTCTCCACAGCTCATGCCTTGTAACTTAATATTATTTCTTCTAAATAAACTTAACTTTAACTTAAACATGTGCATTTCTTACCTGGTAGTGACATCCTTTTTATCTTTGTGAGAATGGGCGCTTCTCCATTTCTCTGGTTGACAGCAAACACTGCAGACAGGCTGTTCTGTGTACGGCTGTCAAAGGCAAGTTCACTTCTGTGTGTGGTTTCAGAGGGTCTTTTACACAGTATGTCCCTCCTTCTTCATATCTTCATTTTCGATCTTCTTCTCATCTCTTGCACAAGTTCTGAATATTCCTTTGGTACTTTCCAAAAAGTCCTGAGTAATCTTCTCACGCCATCCTGCGCTCCTACTTTTGGTTTTCCTACTTGGAGAGAGTGGATCCTTCCTTCTCCAGACAGGCCTTTGTTAGTTTGTGTACTTTATCCTTTTTCGTTTTCGTTCTTTCTATGTACTGACCTATATCTGCCCGAAGAGCCTTATTTGTCCCGGTGCCGCTGCCTGGAAACGAGTTAATAGATGTGGCCTGCTCTTGTGTCTGCTCCCTCTCCCTGCAGCCCCACTCTCTCTCTCAGTGCCCTCTCAAAGTGAAAGTGCTGTATACTGCTGCTGTGTGCGGTGGCTTGTCTGCTCCCTTTAAGTCGGGGCCCCTCCCACATCCACACGTTTTACCTCACCATTGACGGACCGAGCCCCCTCCCCCTTTTCCCCACATTCCCCTGACCCCCACCTCCCCTCCTGCCTCCCTCCCCCCTGTCCTCCCCCCTTTTGAGCAGACAGAGGAGGCTTACTCATGCCGTTGGAGCGCATGTTTTTCATTTGGACTCTCCCCCACACCTCTGCGCCTTCGTATCCCCACTTCTCTCCAGAGCCACTGCGCAGTATCACTCACTTTAATCACTACAAGAGTTCTTTCAGATAATCAAACATGGCTTGTTCTGCTCGACTTTGAAAAATATGTCTTGAATGGAAGCTTTCTTCACTTCTCCTTCACCCCTCTCTTGAAGCTGTGCCCCTGCTTGTTCTGTCATGCAGTGTTGCCCAACATGGGGTACTTGGGGACTTGGAATCATTGCAGAATAAAAAAAGAAGTTGCAGTGTAATAAAACTTAAATTTTTTTTCTCATTAGTAGTGAAATATATGTCCAATTTAAACATAACATATAATGTATTATGCATTGACAGCGACTTACGTGTCTATTTGTCTATCAGTGTAAAACAAGAAACGATAATGGCATTCCTGGTGGTAAAAATATGTTTTATTTCTCACTGAAAAAACTGAATGAAACAGGATGGCTGGGGGGTATACTGAGAAAAAAGGTTCTGCTGCTCAGGCTGTGAAGTTTGATGCACAGATGTGATCATTTTTCCTCAGGCTGAATCACACAGCAACATGTCATAATCACACAATGCCAACACAGAGTTGTGACACCTTAAGTGTCACATACTCTTCCCTTTTTGGCTCTGTTCACACTTGTCTCTCCTGGTCCTGGTTTGATTCTGGTTGAGTCCTGGTATGATCTTGGTCTGGTCAAATCTAGTCTATATTAAATCCAGATTAAGTTCTTGGTTTAGTCCCAGTTTTGAAATGGTGGGCGGTAATTAATCACATTGTGGGGACTGAAATCGACAGAGTTAATTCATTCTTGGGGACCTGTCTTCCATATTGAGACAAAAATCAGGTCCCAATGACGTGAATTCTTTATTCTTAGATCAAAAGCATGGTTTAAAGATAAAAGATACTGTGTTAGTTGGACTTGTTTTCCAGAAAATGAATGCAAGTCAATGTAATTTCCCTAAAAAGCAATGGAAATTTGTGTGTGTAGAAGTGTGATCACAGCTTTTGGAAATCAGCCAAAGACAAGAAAAAGTATCTTAGTAAAATCCTTGAGAAAAGCAATGTGGTCCAAGCACAAACCCACACGAACAGACTCCCAAAGGTGTTGTTAACTAAAATGTCTTCACCTCTGCTTACTTATGCCTCTCCAGTGGTATAAATATTATTATTGTTCTGTCATTTAGCTTGCTCAGATAACACTCTAAATTTGCTCATTGTGTTCCTTTTTCTACTATTAGTAAAATATGTGAGATGAAAAACAGATTTATAGAGATTTAGGGTGCATGCGCTGCCAAAACTGTAGCTGTTATGCAACGATTTCTGCAGAAGTTCATCTATTTGTCCAGTTATATGATAATTTATGCTTTACTATAGAAATCACTGTAGGCGTGAGTCAGGCAAAAACACACATGCCCTCTATAAGTTTAAATAAAGCCACATGTTTTTTACTGACTGCAACTTCAGCAGACACTGCTTATGTGATATAAAAACAGCTGTGTTTTTTAGAGCTAATTAAGAGCGTAAATCTGCTGATACAGTCCAATGTTTAGGAGGTCCTGTCATGCAACTATTTTGTGTATATCTGAACCGTATAAAACATAAGAGTGTTGTCTTTAACCCTTTGGGAATGCTGGACGGCAGCCACAGAACAAATGAGGGGGAAGCTACAGAAAAATGCACGCTGTCCTCTTTTCCTCCTACCCGCCACAAGATGGAGCTATTAGCGGATTAAAAGGTTTTTAATGCTTTAATTTTTACTTAAAACTTGAAATATATTACATAATATATATAATATATATATATATATATATATATATATATATATATATATATATATATATATATATATATATATATATATATATATGTGTGTGTGTGTGTGTGTGTGTGTGTGTATTATCAGTCATCAGTCCAGTGGCAGCAGTTTGCGGGAAAAAAGAAAGTAGAGAAAAAATTCCACAGAAATTTCCATCCAAACTGCAGGGAAAATTTCAGAACATATTTCTGACAGTTTAACCATTAATTTAGCCAACTAAAGGTGTTTTCAACTCTTTACATTTGTCTAATCATAAGTATTGTGTAATTTAGCCAATAATAGCAAACTGTAACTAAAATAATAATCTTCATCAGAATGACAAGACTAGACATTTTTGTAAAACTAAGCTTTAGTGAAAAAGGACATTATGCACTTTAACTATGAAATGATGAATTCAGAATAGTTTGCTTTGATATAAAATGATTAGGCCTTGCTAGAAATGTTCAGTGGATCTCCTTAAATTTTTATTTAAAATAAAAGCGTAAGAAAATACCGAGTGGTTAGATTTAATTATTTTTATTTTGTTAAAACACAAACCCTGTAATAAGTTAAACCTAAAATACAATATTTGGCATAAAAATAATTATTAGATATTGTGCCACTCTATGAAGGTTCTTGTACAAATAATACAAGAGGAACATCATAAAGACCAAGAATGTGTCCTTTGATTTTGTTGCAATTAAAATTTGTATGTAACCATGTAACAGTTCCTTTTCAGGGGGTCTGCCACCTGCTTTTGTCTTCATAGGGATGCTATTGTGTGGTTTGAAATCTTCCATAGTATAAGAAAATAAACATATCTTCATGGAAACCAGATAACGTCATAATTTCAAGGCATTTTTAAGCCATAAAAACACCAGTAACTGAATAGATGCAAGTTCATTGCCATATTGTGAAACATTCCAAGTAAAAGCAGTAACATCTCTATGGAGAGAAGCAAGTCACTGATACCCCTACAAACCTTGCAATAGGTTAAATGTATAATAACCTTCTTTTACATAAAAACAAAGTTGTTAAAAATATTGTTAAAAATGTTCGTCAGTGTCAGTGAAGCTGTTTATAAAGAAAAAGCTTCAAAACCGTGCAATAATAGATCAACAGTTGAATTCAGACCCTTATAATGCCTAATAAAAGCCCCCAGCCTTCCCTTTTCTGTGTGCCATGTGGAGTTCTCTTTGGCCTTTGTCACTGGCTGGGGCTCCTCTCTCCTCCTCGGACCGCACTCATTAAATGGGTCTTGTATGTTTTGCTGAGTCCGGTCATCCAGAACTTTAGCAGGCGTACGTTGTCTTCCTCTCCCGGCCCCGTGGCACCGAGCAGGGTCAAGACCTTCTGTGTGTCCTCCCTCCCCCGTCCATCCACTTTGGAGAACTTAAACAGCACTTTCACTTTACTGGAAGAGGCAGAAAGCAGGATTTAGGGGATTTACAAACTGTTAAAGGGCCCATACCTGATATGTTGTCCATGTATTTGAGCAAAGTTTGTCTTCAACAGTGTAGATGTATTATATAAGTAGCTCTTGAGACCAAAATAAGTCTCCTGTGTACTGTCTGCATCTAATTTGTGTCTCATTGTTTGATAATCAGGAAGTATATGTGTGCATGCTAGTGGTTGTTAGCTTTCCTGTGACTCTAAAATATTGTAGCAAATCATTAGAATGCTTGTAATGCAGGCGTAATATCAGAAATAACTCTACACTGAAATTTTCTGGTAAATTTTTTGTGCAAACCTAAGACACAACATTTACATCCAAGTTTTAGCACATTTAGCATATTAAAATAAATCAACTTTAAGTCTAGCAAATATACTTACTTCATCCACTCTTCCTTCAGACACAAAAGACAGTGGGACACAACATCCATGGACAGGTTTTCATTGGATAGAGCAACTTCTAACTTATTTAACAAGGTTGGGCCTAGGAAAACAAAAAAACATACTTGTAAAGTCAAGCTTACTTAGGCTTTAACAAGTTTTGCAATCAACTGCCTTAATTTTTAGGATTAGGACTGGGAGCACTAACACAAATGTATTATACTCTGTGTGTGTGATTATTTGAGATCACAGTGGAGTGGCTTTTTAAAATTTCATTGTGAAGTTTGTGCAATGACAATAAAGGTATTCTGATTCTGATTTGATAGAATACTGAAATATGAACTGAACTGAAATACAGGAATGACAAGCAAGTTTAAAACATGAACTAACACAGATTTAGTATGGACTTCGAAGATTTCCTAGATTGCTGCCTTTGAGATTTGTTAATTGTACCCACTGTAGTTGTGATATTGTTTCTGTTGCAATTAATGTCATTGTTAGTCATTCAAGAAAATGTGTATGAAATAAACTGTGTAAAAATGCATCGTACCTCTGTCTGTGGGCTGTGTGTTTGTACTGCTGATGTTGAACTGGAACCAGGAGGAAACATTGTCCTGGCTCACAGCTGAACTCTGTCTATTTCTGTCAGATGAGACATCCACCAGAACGGAAAACTCTAAACATAAAAACATTGAAAACATTGGTGTTATGACTCACTTATTAAGACCGGCTTTTTACATTAAAATGGTTCCTTTTGTGGTTTTGGTAAGGTACTGTATAATATCGCAGTTGTTGTTTGGAGTTGTGCAAAATTTTAATATTCAGTGGATCGTCTATACATTTATATATTTTTTTTATAATGGCTACATAAAGAGCTGATTTTAGCCATTTTAATTTGTTTTTAATAAGAGCATTTTAGATTGATCAGTAACAGATATCACTCAGTCTACACATCACCGGAGAATCTTCCTGAAGCCTCCTTCATGTTTACTCCTTCATTCTGTGGTTTTCTTTGGGATACCACTTAATATGACATATCTGACTGACAGCTGAAAAATGGAGGATCGAGGAGAGGAATCAAGGAGAAGGAAGCGAGGAAAGAGAAATAAGATGCGGCCTTAGAAACTTCTTGGTCTGTTTGACACCATAGATTGTTTATATAAATTACTGATACTGATTGGTTGAGATTTGTAGGTCTGGTGTGAGGTCCTGTTTGGAGAGTCACCAGTTGTTGTTCCAAAAGTATTTGAACACAATTCTACTCAGGTGTTCAACATACACTTGAGTTTACTTGGGTTGAATAAACTGTTCAATAAATGTGATATTTTCTTTACCTGATGAGCTCACATGGACCGGAATGGGAACATCTGGACTTAAACCCAAAAAGTTGCATTTGTAGGCCTCCTCATACTGTCCACTGTACGGTATAGAGCGGACACAGCCGACGGGGAGCAAAGACTATCAGAAAACAAATATGAATGAAAATATAAAAATAAAGTAAAAAAAATATTACACTGACATTGTTATTAATTGGTCCTACATTTTAGTCCAGATGTTGACTGTGTTGTTTGGTCCTGTTCTAGTCCTTGTTTACCTTGGTCTAGTCCAGGTTAAGTGCTGAGTTTACCTTTGGTTTAGGCCCAGTTTTGATGTACTGAATATGTAAGTATGAGTGCTCTCTAAATGTACTCACAGAAGATCTGTTACTCAAGTTTGACTTTAATTTGAACTTGGTTTTAACAAAATCTGATCATAAAAAACTACATCTGTATCTACAGCTGCTGAGCTGATTTTGTCTTCAAATAACATTACAATCACAAGTTAGCTAGGATCAGCCAAGCGTTTTCAGTTTTCAGTCACATTTTTTTTTTTGTGTTGAAAATCAAACATGAAACCATGAACGCTCATATTGATCACAGATTCCCCAAAATGTATGGTTTAAGTTCATTTTGTGGACCACTTTACAGAGAAAAATGCAGGTACCTTTAACACAATGAAGGCTGATTGAATGAGCCCAGGATCTGCACTTCTCCAGATGACTTGGTTTCCCATCAACACATGCCAGGCAAGAATGCGGAACTCTGTAGCTCCAAGAACCTGACAAAGAATGCAACCAGATTTAATCCAAATAATATGAATAGGAAAGAATGACACAATAACACATCATAATTCCTATATATTCCTATAGGAATTCTAGAATTCTAGAATTCCTATAGTTTAAAATGGAAACGGTCAGATTGTAGATTTGTTGACCTGTTTAGGGTTAATATCTCTGTAATTACTGAACCTATCCACATAAAACAAAACCTGGCAAACATCTCCTTGGTCAGCATACGGTTTCCTGCCAATAGTCTCAGAAAGCAGTGACATCAGTACCATTGTTGTCACTTGAAAAAACTTTAAATCATACGATTAACATTGCTAGTTTGTGGAGCTAATCTCTAACAAATAATGATATTGATTTGAATATTTCATTCAAAAACAATGAATCTCCTGTAGAGTTATATAAGGCCCCTGCCATCAATCTGAAATAATAACCACCAAATTCTAGTAGACGCAGTCTATTATGGGGAACCAAATGCTTACCTGTCTCAAATGCCTCAGAGACCTGAATTTTGGACCTGGTATTTCTTCTAAGTTTGTCTCATCAGAAAAGAGATCCATCCCAATCATGGCTTCAGTCTGGTGCCGCTGTGATTTTGATCCTCCTTCAGCTCCTTCTCTGCAGTTCATTTCCTCTTCCTGCTCTATTAAAGAACACCAACAATACCAGGTTACATTTTTACAATACATTTAAATGCCTGATTGTCACATAAGTGACTAATATTGTATTAGTGATTACTGATAGTTCATATGTCTTTGAACCTGTCTGTCTTTCTATTAGGACGAGCGTGTCCTCTGTGGGTGCTCCCTCCAGTAACTTCTCTGTCAGGCGACTCCCACAGGCCTTCAGCAACCTGAGCACAGAACAATGAGTGATGTGTAATAAGAAAAGTAATAACAGTATAATACCAAGACTCACCAGCTGAAGGAGGAGTGCAGGCTGGCCCAAAGGTTTGGGTGCTGTGTGAGTGAGGTGAGGGAGCGGGCTGCATTACCACTCCTCTGATGAGGAAACACTGGTGAAAATACACTGTTTATTCTGGCAGCACGCTGTGGACACACTACCTGCTCACTGTCAAACACCTGCAGATAGGAAAGTTAATAAATATTTAATAACAATGCATAGTTTGGTTAAGACGGCTGAGCTTGTGTGATACTGACCTTGAGAGCTGTGCTTTGCAGACTTTGGATTGTGAGTCTGAGGTGCCGTAACAGAAAAGGCCAGGAGTTTATGAGGTAGATTCTGTCCATAGCCACCATCACGATGCTGTACCAGCGCTGAAAGCCTCTGGCCAAGCTGTCTTTGATGAAGAATGTGTGCGAGAACACAAAGCCGTGCTGCTCATCCCCAAAGAAAATTGGCCCTTCTCGGCCCGGACACACCTGAAATAGTGAACAGTAAAATAATAAACATATGTCTCTAACATGTCATGATACCATGTAAATATGAGGGAGTAGCAGGCCTGACCTCACAGCTGAGGCTACGGACACAGGCCTGTCGGACCACGCTGAACAGCTGAGACTGCCGTGGATGCTGATGACTCAGGAAACGTATCCCAGTCTCATCATCGATGCTCACAAAACCCGGGTGAGACGCAGGCAAAGATCGACATCCCTGCAGCATTAACACACATTCAGCACCTTTCACAATATTTAACCTCCATAATTGGTGGTCTATCTCCCCACTCCATCTGCACCCACCTCGCACATCTCTCCCCTCTGTGTGGCCGAGCAGTTTGCCCTCATGGTCAACCCCTCTCCTTCCCTGTCCCCATCTCGGTCCCCCAGTGCCAGCCCGAGTTGAGAGGGGGGAGAGGGTGACGGCGGATGCAGAGCCTCTGTGCAGAACAAGGTCCGGGGACCGTGGAGCTCACAGAAGTGACAGAGAGCCACGAGTGCATTCATCTGAGAAAGAAGGAACAAGTTAGTAATTAAAATGTCCAGAATGACCATCCTTTGTGCACACACATCACTGTCATTTCTTTGGTAAGGTATAAGTAAGAAATAGTAAGAAGTTTTGTCTTACCTTTAACGAGGTGACTTGGGAATCTCAGACAGGCTTTGTCCTGATATAACAGACTGCAAACGGGCAAACGCGCATTACACTAAGCCTTTATGTCACCCCTCACCCAAAACAAAGATTCAATTTTTAGTTCTAAACTCCTAATTGTAATTTAATACTTACATTTAGGTCATGGACACCATACTTCATGAGTTTATGAGCAGCTGATTTAGGTAGCAACAATCTGTCACGTGACAGTCACGCGCTTTAGCAGAAGTGACGCAGTCGCTTGACTTTGTCCGAAAAAAACACGTTTTAACTATATAATGCAATAAATTTATAACAGTCAGAGATTTCTGTTGTTGTACCATCACTGTTAAACAAGCCTGGATATAATTAAGTGTAACAGATAAAGTGCTTTTAGAGAAAGTCACAATTCTAAAAAAAACAAAAAAAAACTAAACAAAAAACACTACATTACCCATAATCCATTCCACTGAAATCCTAACGTCAACAACGTGAGAAGCGTCTCTTCAGAGCTTAGGGTTTGTATCCTTAAAATTATGTTGTTTTTTTATTTAACAGCAAATTATCGTTTTCATTGTAGATATGTGGCACTTTAATCATGACTGATAGGAGAACTTTCCAAATATACGGCTACGATGTATTCTGTTGCTGGGCGTTTATTAGCCTACATTACTTCCGCACTTAAAACGAAATTTAACTTTCATGTCCTTTCTTATTTTTAGTACTGAAATATCTCCAGCTGAATAATGGCTTCACAGGAGAGCTCGTCCCACGCGGAGAAGCAGGGAAATGACGCCCATCAGAGTGACCCGATACTCGGCCAAGAATTCCCAACTCAAACCTCAACCGCGGATGAGAAGGGCACTTCGGGTAAATCATTATTTGAACACTGATATCGTATTTGAATTTCTAAGTTACTGTGACCCATGAGTTCTTGTAAATTGCATTCTTGCTTTGAAGAGATGTGGAGATTTTTGTACAGTTGCCAATACTTTATTATCTGTGTTGCGTAAGAAAGTTGTAATATGTTAGCAGTCAGGAAGTGATTCACCATCAAGAGAGAGTTGATGGATGAAGGGTCATGGAGATATATATCATGGGATATACCAACTCATGTTTTCTCAGAAGCAGATGCAATAATTTCTTAATAATCTGATGGTAAAATGGTCATCAGCCCACATGAGCCCACATTCAAAACAATTTATCCAGACAACATATCATAAATAATGTAATACACAAACATATTTTTGTCTGTCTACAAATTTGTTATTGTTTTCAAATAAAATTACAATATTTCCTCAATGAGTTGTGGATTCAGACATTGATCATAATAATGCCTATAGAAATGATCAATTTATTTAGAGTGATATTTGATATAGCCCCACAAGGTACTGAAAATAGTCCTGTCTGTGTTCCATTTGCGGATTTGGGGCCCGAACCACCAACTGAGAACCACTAGTTTGATGAGACAAATAAACACCTGTTAATCTTCTGTTACTCACCTTCTTGTAGCTGGACAACTGAGGAATTTCACAGACCTCTTCCCCTTTGTAGGACAATACAATAGTTTTTTTTTTAATCATATATCATCAAACTAGTATTTATGAGAAGGATTATAACAGGAGAAATGTTTTTTAAATGTTACTATAATTCACAGTGTCCAACAGTTTATGTGACCAACTTTATTATTTTAGACTTTCTAACTTAAAAATGCAAGATTTTTAATATAGATTTTCTTTTGAGTCATTAGCCATTTATCAGCCAATTGTTTTTCTGCATTGTTTCTGTGTATTTTAGGTGTTCAAGATCATCAAAAAGAAAGTCAAAATTGGTGCCAATATTTTGTAATGGGAAAATGCCGCTTTGCCGACAAGTGCCGATTGTTTCATAGGTAATGCCGATGTGAACGAGCACATAACAAATTATATAAGCGTTATGCCTTCTTCTTTTTAATGTTTTAATGTTTTTTCTATAGTGAGCTCCTGATGGATGACTCAAAGTCTGCATCTGCAAGCAAAACTGATGAGGAATATGAAGAAAAAAGCAAGAAGAAAAAAGTTAAACAAAAACAAAACTATGAAGAGAAAGGTAGAGACACAAATTATTTAATTGTTAATCCAAATGTTACAAGTTGTCATGAGGCAGGAGTCAGTTATAAACTACTATTATAAACTACTATAACTATTCACAGTTTTAAAAAAAATCCACAATATATGAACCTGAATATTATTTGTGAGGAAATTGTTAAATAAACTCACTATTTTAATCTTCACCTCAACTGTATAGAAAATTTCGAATGAAATATTGCCACATTTTTGCAAGTGTAGTAAAAAAGAGACAATTTTGACTTTCCAGTTAATTTATGTTGACAGAGATGTTGGACTTTGTTCCATTTTTTTTCCATGTGGATTGGTAATTACAGAGATTACTCTAGGCTACTAAATTAAACCTACACCAGATCATAACAAATACCACCACTGAACTCTGACCTGTCCTCCTGCTCAATTTTTAATTTTTTATTCACTCATAAAGGTGCTATATTATGCAAAATTAACTCAAGAGTTTCAAGCCATTTTAGAAAATTGTTGCCTTATCAAAAAACATACTTTCATGCACACACCCATGTTAACCCTTAATTAGTCTGTCTACGTCTCCAAAGCTCACAATCCTCAGTTCCACCTTGTGATGTCATGGAGCTGTAGCTAACAGCTACCTTTTACCTTTTGTTTAATCGAGATGGGAAATGATCCAAATGATTCAAGTGAAGGCGTATGGAGTTTAAAAACATAATGGAGCACTTCCTCTATTATCACATGACATCACAAGGTGGAACAGGGCCATTTCTGTTTGAGAGAAGAAAAAAATTTAATATGTAGGATTTGTGTGTTAAATGTGTGAATGAAACAAAATACAACTCGGGGTATGTTTTTGATGAGGAAACAGCATTATAACATAGATAGAAGGTTTTGATGTCACGTGACCCTTACATTACATTATATTTGCTTATTTCCTTTCAGAGATCAACAAAAAGCCTCGAATGCGCACGGCCGATGATGTCATCTCCAGGATCTTGTGGGACTCCTCTGTGGACTCTTCCCAGTTTGTGGTGGGTTACAATTTCAAATTGTACGTAGTCACAGTTATTGTGAAGAAACAACACAATTATTCACAGTTATTGTCTCCCTTACTAAAAGAATAGTGAAATCTTGAATTCAGTTTAATAGACATTGTATAATAGATTACCTCTTGTACGTGGCCAAATTTTTTAACTAAAACTTTCTGAATGGTAAAGTTAAAGATACACTATCTTTCTATTGCTTTACTGGAATGTTCCACCGTATGGCATTAACTTATCAGGTATATATTCAGTTACAGGTGTTTTTATTGTTCTAAAATACTCTGAACGATATGCATTATTTCTGTGAGCGTGCTGCCTCTCCACAAATCTGACCTGTAACTTGGTCTGTTGACGTCAACTGCTTGAATATAGATACTTTTAATGCCATACTGTGGAACATGACCAGCAAAGCAATACAATATCCACGGAGATAAGCAAGCGGTGAACCCTTTTCTCCAAGTTACAATGTGACATTAAAAAACACAACTCTCATTTTAGGTTTACTTTTATGAAAAACAGATTATGACTGAATCGATTATTTTCGACATTCCTAGGTGGGTTATGTGGACCGCTTCCTTGGGGTGTTAGAACGCCCCTTCTGTGATTTTAACTGGGAGACGAGTCCATGTGACTGCGATTACAACACAGAGCTGGCCCTGCCCCGACACAGGATCCAATACTTCACCTACAGGGGGCAGCGCGTTTGGGACAGGCACAGTAGGATGGACAGGGTGTTTGGCTCCACTGGACAAGCTCTGGCTCCCCCCTTTGGAGGGGAGGGGGAAGTAGAAGGTAATTCTGATCATTGACACACAGAATACTATGAAATATTACACAGACAATTATATTATAATGGACTTGTTAAGGGCACATTATGCAACTTTTCTCAGTAAAGCATTAAACTTATCTATCTCCCTGGAGACAAGAAGCAATTGGTCACACTAGACCAAGCTACAAGTCAGATCTGTGGAAAGGCGAATTAACTTTGATTTTTGAGTGTTGAGCAACAACCCCATATTATACCCGTGTATATTTAAAGTTAAAAGAGTCAGGTGGGTACTGTATCGCCTTCCAGAAAATTGCTAATTGTTGCCAGCAGCATAAGAGGCCACAATATTAATATGAGGAATTTGCAGACTGCATTTCTAACAAAAAATATCAGATATTGGATTTTCAATTTTGTTATATTCCTTAAACTATATTTCATATAAGAGTAATACTTACTCCTCTATCCCTGTCATCCATCTGAAAGTTTGATTCTCTAAAATGAATTGATCCTTTTTTTTTTTTTTTTTTTTTTTTTCAAGTAGTATTATTCCTGACGTAACCATTATTTACAGAAACTGTAGAGAGACCACCAAATGAAGATGAGCCTCTTCCTGTTGTGAGTGGGCAGGAGCAGACAGTTGCAGATGGTTGTACACTGAGCACACATCTGGAGGTCAAGATGCAGGATGAGATGAATAACCACCCTCCTGCGTCAGAACCACAAATTAAGCAAGCGCAACTGGGATTACAAGAAACATGTGCTACAAACAGGTTTGTGGTTTACTTTAGAAACACTTTTAGTTGGTCCCATGGCAGTTGTCGGTTCCAGTTAAATTATACGTATTTTCGGAAAAAAAAGTTTCGGAAAAAGAGGTTACCAAACTGGGTTTGAAAATATGTTTGTATATAAGTGCATCCTGAGACTAAGGTGGAATAAGCAATCCATAATTTGATAATTTTACCTAATATGATTTCTATAGTATGACAATTACACTCCACAAAATGTATTAAAATTAATTAAAATGATCAAATTGATAGTTTGTAGTGACATCAGGCTAAGAGTGTGTCAAATGTATACAGAAAAAATACAGAATGGATATAAACACATATAAGCACATTTTCAGGAGCCTGTGATTAATATGAGCATTCATGTTACCGTTTAGGTGCTAGCGAGCTTGAGACTGTAATGTTATTTTTATAATTTTTTTATTAAATCTTTTTATTGTGTTTTAAAAACATATAAAAAACCCACAATCTTTACACACAGGAATAGACACGCTCACACTCACACAATTGCCCCCTCCAATACACACGTCCACTCACACCTGGACGAAGAGGAGAGGTGTTCACCAAACAGAGAAGTACCAAGTAACACAGAATGACACAAAAAAATATCAGTAAATCCATAATGAGTGACTAGAGCAAATAATAATAATAATAAATACAAAAATAAAAGCAACCACAATAGTAATAGCTGTTATCTGTGTTATTACCACCCCCACCATCATCATCAATAGGTGAAAAATAAAATAATAAAAAATTTAAAATTAATACAGTACAAATCCATTATTCATGTTTATATATTAAGTTTATAAAGTTGTTTTAGCAGATTTCCCGAGGTTAGGTGTAGTTGCTTTTCCGTAGATGTTTTACAGGCTTTTCTATCAGCCACTTCCTAAAGGTTGGTGCAGATATTGTTTTCCATTCTTTCAAAATGAGTCTTTTGGCCACAGTTGTTCCAAGTAAAGCACTCCATAGATGTTTTGATGGGGTGTGTGACTCCACCAGACAGGGCCATGTTTCTTTCTGGTGCCAGGTCGGTCTCATCTTCTCCAGAATTCTGTAATACTGGACAGTCCCCAAACGAGTGTAATGTTATTTGAGAGGACTCGTTCAGATCTTTCTTTTAAGATTAGAGAGTTATGAAGCTCAGATTAGGTCTAATTTGAGTTTCTAACAGAGCAGTGCTTTCAGTTAGCTTCTCACACCCAGGGAATGTTCATGAGATCACATGCAAAATATCACTAGTATAAAAGTGAATGACTTATTATCTTTGCTGATCCAAAAAGCACTGATTACAGATTAACCATAATTATTTCTTTTATGACAATACTACAAGCATAGTATCATTTGTATAACCACCTATTTTTGTTCAGCTTTTTTTTCAACTTTTTGTGGGGCAAAGATTAGACTATGGGGGACCACTATAGTCTGTTAATGCATTAATTAACACTGTTATAGAAAGACAATCAACATTGGATGCTTGGCTGCTACCTGACTAAGAGAGCGTTATGTCTAGTTTAATTATTATTAATTATAAAAAAAAAAATTATTCAATATAGCAGGTAACAGATATAATGAAGGTACTAGGGATGGTTATGGACTATTAATCTTAATGAAAGTTAATATATTATTCACTGACAAACTGACATCTGTGTATTTATCTAAAGGACAGGGTTAGCAGTTTTTATGCAGACAGGATATTTTGTTGCTTGTAAAAGAAATGATGGCACTTCACAAATTGCAGCCTTTGCGATTTGCTAATTATGTCCATTTGATTGTGATTCATCTTGCAGTCTTACTTCTCTCAAAAATAATTTCATTTAAATTTAACATCCATGCATTACATATCAGTCCAAGGTTGTTGTACATGTTTTTTTTCTAAATTGTTGCTCTCTCTCTTCAGAGCTCAGAGCTCAGCAGCTGTAGAGATGGAGGGACCTACGACTGAGAATGAAGAAAACCACGAGGATTTGTCTGTAAGAACCACAGAAATGCATAACATTAATGTATTTTTAGAAATATATACACTATGCAGCATTTCTGATGGAGGGTGCTTGTCACCACACAGATGGTGT